ATTGTTGCTGGGAAAAACGATCCAGGCGAAACCACCCTCTCCCTTCCCCCTCGATGGTCGACAGCCGTGTGACCAACGAAGCTTTCCAATTACATTACCGCGAAAGAGGGAAGCTCTCGAACGACTCGCGACGATCCGACAGGATAGGCAGAAGTGGGGGTTGGGAGGGAAAGGGTGCTTTTCCACGCCATGTGTTTTAAACGCTAGAATTGAAATCGTAGACGATACCACCGTTCCTGGTCGAAGAAGGGTGAAAGGAAGAGAGGGAGGAGTGGCCAAAAAAGACTTGCAAATATGGACAGTCTAGACATCAGGCTAGAAGGAACAAACGAACGATTAAAGGAACGAAGATCGAACACGTGGAAGTTTCAGATGAGAAGCCCTTCTGTGCGTACTTTGGTATAATTAGGGAATCCGAGGAAACGGGAAATTGTTCAGAGGTGTTTCCCACAGTCGTGAATAGCAGACCTGGCGTACTCGCGCTGTTAACCTTTGACGAACTTCCTGACTTGGCAACCAGACTCTCTGTCAAAGCTCCCGAAAAACGCTTAATACCAGCGTCTGTTCTGCCACTTTAGCCCCGCACACGTGCTGGAGTTCCTTGAGAAAGGGCCCTTGGAGAATAAGTGGACTGTCCCATCCAACGTTAGCACTTTTAGTATTTCACTTACTTTTGATTTGCAGAAAATTTATTTTAATAAATGTTCAAAATGATGTCCATCAATTTCAATACACTTTTGAACCAATCCCTCTATCGTAGTTATTGTAATATTTAAATCTACTCCCACAAATTTGTAGATTTTTCGTACCCGAGGTCACATGAAGGTGATACTATTATTGGTCTCGATCTCAACTATTACTCGACGCTGATCAAAATACATAGTCCCATTTTAAAAACCATCGATTACACGATATATTGAAAAATATAACCTCGAGAAAAATGTTTGATTATCATAATATTTGCTCCTTCTAACCAAATAATACTTTCCCCTCACGTTTTCTTGTACCTTAAAAACTAAGTGACATATTGATGGTGCTCACGTCAGGTGGGACACCCTGTATACACGTAAGAATACACTGTGAACATCGACGACCGTCAATGGAGCTCAGGGTGTGTCTTAGCCAAGGCGCAGTAATAGTCAAGAAGTTGTACGTAAATCATCCGTGGAACGTTCCGAGAAAGCCGGCTATAATTCCAAGACAATAACGTAACAGAGCTTCTTTGCCTAATGAGAAGCTGCTTGTTGCGCTGTCTGTGTAAACTGGCCGTGCATCAGTCAGCGGTATTACGGAACGAGAAATTGCCCGAAGATTGAGATCGAGTGGCTTCACTCCGACGGATTACACGCCTCGGAATTCCTCCAATATGTCTTCCGTGGGGGTGAAGGATAAATAGAGACACGAGAGAGCGGTCTCGCTCGTCGAACTTTACACGTCCGTTACACTTTCCACGGAAATGAATTTCGAGCACGTAAACCGCGGATACGTTTCGATTGTACGAAACAGAAATTATAATCAACGCCAATTAATTAACGTTCGCTGCAGAAACATCTTCGTTAGATACGTCACTAATTACATCGACTCGATTAATGAACACAGTATGTCCGGTTTGAATGTATACCACGCTTATTATTTCTCTAACTATTGAAAATGCGAAAAAACATTTCACATAACAGTTGTTAATGGAATTTTACTATTCCCTTTTAATTGTTATGTACAGAGATTTAATGTAACTTTTTTTTAAATTGCCGTGTTATTGGAGGTGAATTCAATAACATATATGAAAGGTTTGTTTGTTCATTGTTTCCTGTTTCGCGGATCACACGTTGTGGGCAAAATACGCTATAACCAAACTTGGTAAATTACTATGCAAACAAAATTTCCAATATATCATTCAATTCAACCTGAAATGCTTAATAAAGTGGCAATATTAAAAATGTGTACTTTTACAAAAATTACATTCTCATTAAAATCTTTGTAAATAACAGTTGAAAAAAATTTTTAAATTCATTTTTACAACATTTTTTCGTATTTTCATCAGTTAGAGAAACAATAGGGTGTATACAATTAAAATACAGTATAAAAATAATTACATTCACAAAAAAAGACTTACAATTCGTCTGATTCGGTAGTTGGAAATCATCTGTGACTAGTAGAACGAATCCATAAAAGATGATCAGCTCACAAGGTGTTCCGACACGTTAAAAGTATTCGAATCTGACGGCCTTGTCAAAGTGGGTATCCGAATATTTAACGAAACCGCCCCGAAACTCGTTACTATTCACCGTGAATTCTTCGCGAATTCCTGTGCACACGCGCGTACCTACTCCCGCTATTTCCACTCTGTTTTTAGTAAACGTAATGAAACCACAACGTAAAGCTCGCAAGGCTGGACACGCTCACAGACAGCTAACCCACACAACTGCCAAGCCCTGGCTTTGGATCTAGCTGGTGTTCTCAAATAGGGATGCCTCCGGGCACGGCTGAAGTTTCGAAAAGAAAACAAAACAGTAACCCCCCCTCTACGCGCCGTGAATTCATTGGAATCAGAGCGAGGTATTATTCTATTCTCGTGGAAATATACCGGTAACATTGCGCCGTTGACGGGATTATAATCCTCGATTTACGTCAGAGACTTTTAGAGGCTGAATATTTTTATCCAACGCTAGATGACGGACGATGAAGAACCTGGAGTTATATTTATAGTTTTAGCGTCTGCACTAGAAAGTTTGTACGCTCTAAATGGTAATAAAGACGTTGGTATTCAGTGCATTCTGTAAAAGTCGCCTCTATGGAGTACAGAAAATCATCGATGAGTGTTCGAAGGCACCTCGGCACTTAATATTAAATATTTCAGAAACTAATGGTCATATTCGGCTGAAATAAAAATTATTGGCTTTAGAATTCTAGGGTCTACTAATGTCCTAAATCTCATTAAAATGTCAGTGTTATACCTGGCGACCACTTATTGGCGAGAAGCCTCCGAACACTCATCGAGAATTTATTGTATTGTTCTGTGATCTGGTCACTCTATCAGAATTGCCACATCACTTCTTTAGAGAGTGTCCAGCATAAATTTTTGCGTTCACTAGTGCTGGAAACCCTCTACCCAAGGACTTGCTACAACTACGATGGCAAATTGTCTGTGTTTAGCACTAGAACTACCAACGATAAACGCATATCTTTTTCGATCGATCGATATATATGGCAAATATTTGAAAATTTACGAATTTATAAATTAACTAATATCTTTAATGTCGTATCGTAATAAAAGTTACAAAAGATCTGAGAAAATGTATTGTTATAACATTTTAATCATCGTTGTAAGAATGTATTGGCAAGTTATTTTGACATGCCTGGTAGTTCTAGTGTTAATTTAGGCGTTTATTTAATTACATATATATTAGGCCTACGACTTATTCCGTGGCTCCCGAAAATAATTATTGACTAAAAACCACCCTCATTTATTTCAGAGGTGATTCGCCAATTGATGGGGATAGAAATGATGGGGAATATTCTCAAGACTAGACCGTATTTTCGTTTTCAGTAAATAAATAACAAATCTCTGAAACGAAAGCCTCCAATTAATGTGTACATCTTATGAAACATCAATCACAATTCATTTCCACTTTTCAAAATGTAATTCGCGTCATGACGTACAGAGAACGATGCAGGTTCATTCATTATCGTTCTAATTATTATACAAGGAGCCCAGGCATGTTGCAAGCATCAGCTCACAAGAAGATTGAAGCTACTTAGAGATCACCTTAACAAACACGATCGAGATTCCTAGCTTGTTCGCGACAACCCCCATAACTTGTTCTTTGCGAGGACTTACCGCGAACTAGGGTACCTCTTAGCAACCAGAAATAAGTATCACGCGATGGCAACAAGAACCAGGAAGCGCTGGAAGAGGGACAGCAAACCGTGCAAAATATTCGGCAGCAACGTAAACGATTGTTCGAGTTACCCGGTAATCGTCTTAGGAACTTCGAGACGGTAATTAATTCCCAAAGAACGACGCGGTAACGAGCTTCTTACATCACGAGGGTCCATTTAATTATACATCATCGCCCGCGGGGGCACCCTCGGGCGATTCGAGTCTCCGAAGATTTCACGGATCCATTGGAATACATTAAAGGCGAAACAATCTTATCAATCTTCCGGCAAGTGAATGAAATTGAATCTCATCTGAGGGCGGATGAAAACTGTGTCAGGAGATTCTACGGTCATTACTGTCAACCCTTAAACTCTTTCATTCTACCCAGAAACTTTTACGAAGCCTTTCTTTATCATGCCTCTAATACCTGGCGAGTCTCGAATGCCTAATGATCGAATCGTTTTTACTGATAGTCAAGATTTTGATATGCAGTCAAAGATAATTATAAGATCAAAATTTTTATGATTTTTAATTTTTTTTAAGAATTGGGAATTTTATATTACTCGCTCAAAAGTTAAATTGATCAATCGGTGATGTGCAAAACGAACGTTACTTTGTAAATTCTTCAATTATTAGGTCGCGAAACTTATTTCTGGACGGGTAAATCCGTGATTCGAGAGCCGTCGTTGATACTCGGATTTACGGGGGTGTGTTTCTGTTGGAGTTTAGCGGGAACCGTATGACTAACCAACATGTTGTCAAGAATTAATAAACATAACGTCTGTATATACAGGATGCATCCTCGGTGCTTGTTAAACGGAATTGTTTAATCATGCATCCTGTTGTGGGCTCTAAAATAACCAGATTTTACGAAAAGAGGATTAACAAAGTTTCTTGTTCTCGTTACCAAATCGATCAGAAAGGTCTGGTCGACGTAAGTCGAACTTAATATTACTCTTCAATATCCGTTCTTTTCATCGCGGTTCTGATGCACAATATATTTTGTAACGATCAAAAGTCCGATTTATCGAAGTTTCTTCGTTACAAGGGGAACGATATACCGAAACAGATTGCACGGCCATAACGGACGGTCGCTTAATAAACCCGTCAAACGACGTACCTCATAAACGGCTCCGAGAGGCATGACGAGGCAGGCGACCATAAGATCGGCGACGGCCAAGCTGACGATTAAATAATTCGCCACCGACTGTAGATTCCGTTCCAACAGGATCGCCGCTATCACGAACAGATTCCCTGGAACAATAATTATCAGCGTGTTTATGATCAATAATTGCTAATCGGTTCGATCGTGTGCTCCTAATTAAGTATAGTGTAAAATAGAAAAAAAATGTTCTGAAAAAATCTGGACCCACTTCGAAGTGCGCTGAGAAGTAGAAGTTAATTTTTATTTTTATTATTTGTATAGAAATGCAATATTGGTAGGAAACTTATTACTTTCTCTTTCTAAATAGCATATTAAATACATTGCAACCCTTTTGGAGACACAGCTGTATTTAATATGCTATTTAGTAAGAGGAAATAAGTTATCTTAACCGCTGTTGCATTTTCGTATAAATAATATAAATAGTAATCATTTCGAAGTCGGTTCACATTTTTCAAAAAAGAGTTTTCTATTTTGTGCTTTATAGGTAGGAAGCAATACTAGTGGGACAATGGTAAATTATTGTAAATGTCAAAGGGAAACTACGTTCGATTATTTGGAAGGACATGATTTGAGAATGAAAACAATAGTTTATAATAAATGAAAAAAAATTGTGCAATCGCTGGACATACATAAAAAGAAAATATCAGCGATTGAAACAAATATGCGTTTATCGTCGGTAGTTCTAGTGTTAACAGACTTGTAAATTTCAATGCTTATAGATAAGGAGCCTATTAATATTACCCTTGGATCAAGGTTATAAAAAAAATGATTTCGTTAATCTATTTGAGTTCCTGCTATTTTCCATGAATATAATTTCCTACTGTGATTAAATTGTTTTACTGAATCTATTACATACCAATCGGTAGATAATGTGTTAATGTCCGTTCTTGATGTACACGTAAAATGTACTACAGTAATGTCTCGATGAATGCGACACGAGTACGTCGCACTGTGTGAGGAATTACTGTATCACTTTTCACCAAATAATATAATCGTTCACAAAACAAATAATGAATTTGGATGGTGGTTTCATTTTTTGAATTTGCAAATCTAATTGAGAAGTCCAGTGATCAGAAGGATCCACACTGTGAGTAATATCACGATCATTCGATTCTAACGTTTCACTGAGTACCTCCCAGGCGGCTTTAATCAGAAATCCAGTTAGTTACGCGTGTTACAACGCACGCCCCGTAAATAATTCATAAGCTGATTAGGAAGGATTCCCGAAGAGAACGATTCTGTTCTACTTTCGCGTAAATTCCGCGTATCGTTCCCTCTCGAATTAACAATTCCCGGCGAAGGACGCGGCCCTTTTCCCACCCTTGTGTCAGGGACAAATTACTTTCGTCACCACTGGTCGAACTTCAGAATTTTTAAACGGTCGAGACTTTGGATCGTGCACTTTAATTCCCAGTCAAGTTCACGAAGTTCTTCGTTTTCCATTTTCTTTTTTTATTCTTCCGTCTTCTCCCGAACGTTGCAAAATTTATATACACACACTCACGGAGATTTTCAACAATAAATTAGAGATTACCACTGATTCTTGACAATTTGACGTCACGAAGCTCGTTCAAGAGTGACGTGATTTTACTAACTTAGTAACTCAAACAGATGACAGAGAACACATTCATCCATCATTGAGGGCACACTGAGAAATCACACAGTACACGAGTAGTACACAATCGCCTACAGCACATTTTCTCAGTGATGGATGAATAGCGTTTCCTGCGATCCGTGGATGTGTACACTACGACTGCTGAATGTGCACTGTCGACTGTTTGACTGCGTGTATGTGTTCGTTGGCATGGATCAGCTTGTGATTGGTTGTTTGTAATTTCGCCGATGGTGGAAATGAAGAGTACTGATTGGCGTATGTTGCGAGGGTATGGTATGGACGAAATGGGTTTTGACCTGTGTATTGTCTTCTGTGGATTCTTGGAAATAGGCGTCCAAATCCAATAAGTAACTGTTTTTGGGGAACGCAGATTTTTTATCACGGTCTGTCGATTATATTGACAGGCCCGAGACGATGCTTGCGACCCTTGACTACCTGAGTTGGGTCTAGCAACATTATTCATTCTTTCTTCGTTGACCAACCATTCGGAGGTAAATGAAACTACACGAACAAGGTTCCAAATCATCTATTTATCAAGGCTATGTACTTCAAATTCATCTTTAAAAATGACTCTGCCTAATTATCACCAGCGCACAGTTGTTGGATCATTTGAAAGTCATATCATAGGACATACCTGAATGTATTTTCTCTTGTACTACGCAATAGGAAAAAATATGTAGTTATTTGAAGAAAAACATTGATAACCTTGAAAACTTGAACTCAAAAAAAAAACAACTCCTGCAGGATACTGACCAGTTAATATCATTAAAATTACGTATAAAATATTTTTTCTAATTCCACAATGGAAAAATATATTCTGGAGGTCCCACTTAAATGACCAACCCTGCATAATTACATCAGTTTTGTGTCAGGGAGCAGTTATATCGCAATCATCTTGGCATTAGTGATACAAATGTAAATTTTAAAAAGCCTCATCATTCAAATTCACATTTTTTTAGTTCTACCACTCTCAATGCCAAATGATACATAAATTCTCATTAGGCTCATCCTATACCTTGTCGAGTGGTCACCGAATCATTGCACAAGCGGTCCACGACAAAGATACTGCACGATTTCTCGTTCCCCAATACGGTCGACGATTCGAGAGACGAGAGCTACGGTTCGCTTTACGCCGAAAACCGCCAGTTAATTAGTCCATCGATGGGTTACGTCGCTTTGACGGGATGGGGCTTTGTAAACGTTTTGACGATTGTGTAATCAGCTTATTTGTACGCGATGGAGCCTGTCCACCGTCGTCAATCGCGACAAATGCCTGTGCGCGTCCCACGATTTCTCCGAACGAACATTTAGTCCGAATCGTTTCGACACATCGTTGCCTGGGTTCTTAACAGTACTTACTCTATTTTTAAAAAATCATTTAGTTAACCGATCTACGTGCTTCTCAATGGTCAAACAAATTCACCATAATATAAAGAAAATTCAACCGAGAAATTAATAAATATTCCTTTATGTCCTAACTCCAGAACTTCTGTAAGTTTTTTCTTCTTAATGGTTGTATCTCGAAATACTAACAGCAATTTAAAATTTATGTTCGTAAAATTTTGTTAATTATTGCAATAAATAGCTGTTCCGTAGGTGATATTGTAATGTGTTTGATTATTTCACTACTTTCCTGCTTCTATAATATTTAATTTCGTAAACTTCAAACTCAGTTTTCTCAGTTCAGAAACTAATGGAGATAGAACACTCAAGAACTAGGGCGACGATAGGCGCATCCAATCCCCCCAAACGGATCGTTAAACGACATTTAATTTTATCTCCCGAAAAATTAATTTACAACCAGCTCTGGTGTCAATAATCATCCCTATGGGAGGGGAGCGTGTGCCGCCTCTGACCAAACGATTCGCGTTTCGAGTGCTGACCAAACAAACGCTGCCGGACGTTTATTCTCGATGAAAATGCAATCGGATATTTCCATCCGCGATGCCGTGAATTTGCACGATTGAAACGCGCTTTGATTTATTCTATCGAAAAGGCTTCGACAACTGGTTTCGGGCTTGAATTAAAATCGAAGAGGATTTATTATGGTTAATGGAGCTTAAGTGCATCCTGATTTCTCTCCGTTGGTCGCTTCTTTTTTGTTTTTAATTCAACGTACGATGTGCACCCACCTTCGTGAGTCAAATTGCTTTTTAGAGGCAGTTTAAATCAATGTTGAAATTAATGGGAAACACGGCCTTGCGTTACAGGCGTCACGATTACATGGAGTAAATGGTTTTCTACTCCATTTGGATCGCTGCGGCGGCGGAGTTAATGACGCGTCGCAGCTTCCCGTGGAACGATATAATTTTTATATTGCCCCCGATTCAGTATAAATCCTGTTTACGATCGAGATGTTTCCTGGTTTTTCCTGCCCCCCCGGATACACCACCGAACCAACATAAAGTGAATGGTGGTTTGAAAACGAACAGGGAAACGATCGAGTGGCCGCGGAATCGAATTTGATGCGTGGATGAACTTCCTGCTCGCTGTTTTTTTTTTTTTTTTTTCGTCTGGTGACTCCTTCGTGACGTTGAATCGTTTCACCGCGGTAATCGTGACCGGCTAGCGAGTGTTTCACGGCTCTGTAAACGTACGGCCAGCCGTGAATTATTTAATGCTGGGAAAGCGGAACACGGCTCAGAGAAAACCCCCAGTTCCGAAATTAATGCAAGCGACGGTTCTTTCAATACCATCCAGCGCGCTGACTATTACCGTTTTTGGCTTTGCAACAATGTACCCTGGAATCATTTCCGGGTTGAATGACGCATTCACAAAATGTCACAGAGATTTTCTACTCGGATCGATCTGATTGTGACAAACCGAAAGTCTGATTGTAATAGGAATTTCTAGAGCTTATGGGTGACGAATTGGATTGAAATTCAGTAGAAGATGACAAAATTGACAATTGCGTTATGAGTTTTCACGTGACTGATTTTAAGACATTCTAGAAATCACAGAATGGACGTCAAGGGCATTTGAAGGTGGTAAGCTCTGTTCGAAGGTCGACTGATAGGCGAAGGCTGGACCTTATCGCCATTCGAAGGTCGTAAACTCGACCTACGCGTAATTACATGTCACATAATTGACCTCCGGATACTTAGGGGGTTGCAAGCTCGATCTGGAGGGTCACTGAAGGTTGCAAGCTCAATCGTAGGAACTGCTGAAGCTTGAAAGTGTGATCCGAATGGTTGCTAAAGGTTCCACGTCCAATCTGAATGCTGTGAAAATCTCTCAAGAACTACCTGTTTCTGTACTTACGAAGCTTGCAAGCCTACAGGTCATTGAACTCCAGGCAGTAAATGTCAGACGACATTTCGTCATCGTCGAAGGAAACGGCATCGTGTCGAACAGAACCATAAAGTGCAGGGAAAGCATAACATGCAAGGGCCTCTCTATATAAGCTCGGATGCTTTTAGCCGCGCTTTGTACGCTTGCAAACGGCACGCGCGTGAACCAGTCACCACCCCCGGA